GGCAATTTGATTGCTCGAGATTCTGGAACACAATAACTCTCATTCTAATTGAGGTAGAATATTCAAACTTGGTGTAGGCATTTAGTAGGTGAATCCCATGATTCGGAAGGCAGAGATAAGCAATCTGATTGGTTGATGCTTTAGGGGCACGATAACTTTGGTTATAATGAAGTGACTAAGTTCGATTGTGCGAATTTTCTGTCTGGGCTAAGGAGCGATAAGCAATTTGATTGGTCAAGACTTTGGAATATAAAAACTCTGTTTTAAATTGAGGTAGAATGTTTAAACCTGATGTAGATGTTCATTGGGTGAATGTCTTGACTGATTTCAATGATTAACATTTCAAGCTAAAGCTAATCAGAGCTAATCAATTTCATTGGTCGATGCTTTCGGACAAGATAATCTTTATTCTATCTGATAGAGAGTGGTGAAACTTAGTGTGTAGTTTGATTGCTCGATACTTTTGAAAAAAAATAAATGTGCGATTAATTAATATGTGTCATCTATTTATTTTGGGATTTCGGCGGGGGACATCAGCATCACTCATCACTATTGGCTTGTTTTATGTATTTTATTGTTTGTTTAAACATGTCACTGTCGTAATGTATTATTTCATGTTCTATCTTTAAAGAGATTATCCAGCAATCAGTTGTTTATACAGAGATTATCCAGCAATATACATCAGTTGTTTATAGTATGAAACATTCCTTGATATTTTTACATAACAGAATTAATACAAGAATTTTATTTACCTACGACAAATATATTAGCAACCCCGAAGAAATTCCCCTCTCCGTGCTTATTCCCACTAATCCACGAACTGATACTGTCTTAGTAGTAAACAAGTACGGTCAAAACCGTATTCTTATGGATAGACATATTTATACTACATTAAATCGGAAACTAAATATAACCAAAATACCTCCACATACTACCTCATTATTGTGAATGGTTGATTTATACCAATTCGCTGGATTAGCCAAATTTATAACGGAAATGAAATGCGGTTTAACGTCCTACTATTCTGCTCCGAACTGGGGGGGGGTGGCCGAATGGTTAGCACGCGCGCGCTGTATCACGAGGCCTGTCAATGAGTCAACTGGCGTGGTTTCGAATCCACGGTTGTACGTGACAAGGAGTAGGGTTGCCTGTCCAACCTCGTGGGTTTTCTCCGGGTCCTCCGGTTTCCTCCCACTGCTAAAGACCCCTACGCGCAAGCGAATTATTGAAATAAAATTAAACCATATGTTAGTCCAGAAATGACCTAGTCTGTGTCGAGTGCCCCCAAAGGTCGATTTCGATCTTACACAACATAAAAAGAGAGATACTATAGCTCGACGGTGTTCCAATCTCAGTTCAGAGAGTTACGGTCTAAATATGGTGATTATACTCCCATTTATACAGATGGTTCGAAAGATGGTGATCGGGTAGCCTCTGCTACCGTGGCGCCATCTGAGACCATATCTTTTCGCCTACCACCTGCTGCTTCTATTTTTACAGCTGAGCTCCAGGCTATTCTTCAAGCCCTGGAGTTCATCCAGTCCTCATCAGCTTTAAAACACGTTATCTTTTCTGATTCTTTGTCCTCGTTACAAGCAATTAGTAACAAACAGCTTGATCACCCATTAGTAGCAGACATTCTGCTACTATCATACGAGTTCGTTAGCAAGGACACTGTCCTTTGCTGGCTCCCCAGTCATATGGATATCAAAGGGAATGATCAAGCAGACTCAGCTGCCAAGTCAGCTTTACATCTTCCCATATCACATTTTTTAACGCCTTATAAAGATTTTAAATCTGTTATAAATAATTTCATTTATGACCGTTGGCAACCGTCTTGGGATCTTGAAGGCACAAATAAACTTCATCATATCAAGCCTCTCTTAGGAGACTGGCCAAGCTTCTATAGAACCAACAGGAGGGATGAAGTTGTTTTGTGTCGCTCTCGCATTGGTCATACTTTTTTAACTCACATTTTCATCTTGAAGCGAGAGACTCAACCGGAATGTGAACACTGTCATGTTCCTTTGACAGTGAAGCACATCTTGATTGAGTGCAATCATCTCAAGAACATAAGATAGAAATATTACCGTTGCCAGTCTCTACGTCATCTGTTTGCCCAACCGGGTTTATATTGTAACATACTAGACTTTTTAAAAGAGACATGTTTTTATAATAAATTTTAATTGTATATTTATGATTTCATTTTTATGATATTGTTTTTATTTATGCATATAATATTTTTTTCTGTGATATTTATTTAACTTTTCCCACATAAATCACCATATGTTTGGCGCAATATAGCCCGGTGGGTGCTGACGTGCCATATAACCACATTTCATTCATTTATTCTGGACGTTAAACCCCACCTCTCTCTCTCCGAATTGTGCTAATAAAGACGGGCATACGCAAACAGTGTGCTATGAGGGAAATTTTGCCCAGACATCGGCACTACGGCCTACTCTTATATCGAATTCCAACTGTCAATGGACCTTTTACGTGCACGCCAATGTGTACACGGGACCTCGGGTTTTCGTCTCATCCGAACGACTAAACAGCTGTACTTGCCAGGCACTCAGTCCTGCATCACTGACAAGGGGGAACCACGCCGGAAAATCTGAATGAACTTTCTCGACCAATGCAGGGATCGAACTCCCGACCTACAGGCTAGCGAGCCACTTAGCCACCGTGACCCCAATTTGTTAAAGTTTAATTATGGTATCAGTACCCGGTGAATTTAACAATTTACAGCGAAACTATGGCCTACACTTATTTCGAATTCCATCTGCCCAGGGCGTTTTAACGTGCGTGACAATATATACACGGAACCTCGCTGATGAATATATATGATCGCTGCCAAAGCCCGTGTTATCTTTCAGGCACAAATAAGTACTACATCATAGATCAACACAGCAAGAGTTAATCGTTCGAAGTAACACACATATACTCAGCCAAATTAAAAACTTGACACTCGGGATTTTTGGGACTAGATTTTTAATATTTGGTGTAAGGCAACTATTTTAGTGTTATGTTGTGCACAGACGACCTTGACATCAACCGAAAGCAAGAATACGTCTCGCGGAAAGTCCTTGACATTGATAACGTTCGTGATGTCACAGTACCCCCCAAAATGAAATTCACAGACTTGGAGAACAATCGGAATAAAGTGTTTAGTAACGGTTGTGGCCTCCTTTAGCGTCTCGTACTGCCACACAACGTCTTCTCATGGATCTCAGAACATTAGTAAACACTACGCGAGGAAGACGTCGCCACTGCTCAGCAAGAGCATGTTGAAGGTCCTGCAACGTCAGTGGTGGATTCACTTGCTGACGAACACGTCGACCCAGATGTGTTCAATAGGATTAAGGTCGGGGCTAAGCGACGGCCAATCCAGGACTTGCACACCGGCATTTCGTAAAAAATTCTGGGTAGCAATTGCTGTATGGGGTCGAGCATTGTCTTGCTGAAACGTTAGTCCAGGCCCATGTCTCTGCATAAACGGAAGAAGAACAGGTTGCAAAATCTGATCTCTGTACTGGACAGCATTTAAGTTCCCTTGGACAACAACAATAGGAGAACGTCAATGTGCACAAAAAGAACCCCAAACCATGCCGCAGCCGCCACCAAATCGGTCAACTTCTCTGACGCATACTTGAGCGTAACGTTCACCTCGTCTGCGGTACACTCGGGCCCTCTCATCGGTAAATCTCAAAGTGAATCAAGATTCGTCACTAAAGACAACCGAATTACACTGTCTTTGAGTAAATCGTATGTGTCTTGTGGCCCACACAAGTCGGTGACGGCGATGAAGAGGTGTCAATATTGGTCCATTATAGGGCCTCCGATCTCGAAGACCAGCAGCCTGCAAGCGATTTCGAACAGTTTGTGCAGTTACCCTTCCACCAAACATCTCTCTACTTGTGGAGGTTGCAGTGACAAATCTGTTTCTAAGATGACGTAATCGTATTGCTTGATCTTCCCGGAGTGACGTCACACGTGGCGCTCCCGCCCTTGGGCGGTCGGCAATAGTTCCAGTTTGAAGCACTCTCATTCTAAGATTAATTATTGTCTGGCGTGAACAATTAAAGGCTCTTCCAACAGTGACCACAGACTGACCAGCATAGAGCCTACCTATAGCACGTAGACGTTCTACATTTGAAAGGCGCGGCATTTTCTAACAAAAATGAAAATAACAATTTTAATTTGTTTTTCCAGTTCAAGTTACGTGTGGGTGTTCAGTTTAAGCAAACTTGCATCGATTGACCTCACGAGTTTGTGTTTGCACGTGTTTTTCAGGTTTTTCATCTTTATATGCTCAAAAGTAACGTGATCCTCGTGACTTTACAATTTTATGAAATTAAAGGCTTCTTACTACTTACTATCCTTAGAAACACTTTAAAATATATTTGACTTACCAGAAAAAAAAATTTGTTGAAATTCATCCGTGTCAAGTTTTTAATTTGGCTGAGTATATTTAACCAGCTGAATAAAATAGTCGCAATATGAGTAATTAATGGAGTTAAAAAAACATGGGTAACTTCATTTCTATCGTTACATGTTCTTCATTTCAGGTTAAGAAGCAAGTTGGGCAATTTAATTCCATGATACAGTATGAAAAAATAAATATTCTTTATATAAAAACGGTGAATATGCAAGTAATTAATGTGGGCCAACTACTTATTGTGGGGTTGATATGGGTATATTTTTAATTCAGTAAGCCTCAAGTGCCGCCCAGGATAGACCACCACGTCGTCCTGCGTTTCGCCAAATGAGTGCAGTATTTGCTGCGAAATGTTGGAATACTGGGTGGGAAATAAATTTAAATACACGGGTCATCTGATTTGTTTATATTCTTATCCATGATGCCATTAATTGGAGTTTGGGATATTGTTTTCCCTGCACAATGTGCGGTGGTTTAATAACTTCTAGCGTGAGACGAGTCTGTATTTATTTGAATATATTATATAATAGAATTAATAAAATACATTGCTAGACGACGTTTAACCTATTATGTATTCGCTATCTCTTAACATATCTTCAGTGTTGCTAAGACTACCATTGTTAGGAGAAGCAACCACGCCTAGTAATTCACAAATTAACGGGTATATATCAACATTCTTAATAGATTCTTGACGGTAATTCGATTTAAAGTTGGGTCCATGAGCCAGAAAGATTGGCTTCATCGACATAAATTGATTGTTGTAACCATGGGCACCACCGGGATGATAATCATACCTATGCTTATTCTGAAATTATACAATGAATAAATGCATTGAGTCGAGATCATATTTGTGGTTTCATTTCCTCAAATTCTGATTGAAATACAATTCATAATCAGTTATCTACACCGGGAAATAACACATGTGACGTAGCGTTACATGTACCCAAATTTAGTATTTGATATTAAATTTAGAAAATCAAAATTTCAGCTTTTGATAATTACTTGGCGAGGATTCAACTGTATAAAAATGAGACCCATCACAATATTAAAACAAATAATATATATGGCGCTGGCTATTGACTACAAAGGATATGAAAATATGCCCAATTTATCATAATTTGTAAATAATGAACGAAATTGGACCATCTTGGGATTGATATTGCTTTTCGAGAGTTAAACTTCACAACATTTCAGCTCTTAAAAATGTACTTGCTACTATTATGGGGGCTTCTTCTCACAGAAAAGAAATAAGAATTGTCTTATGGATTGCGATGGAAAGGGGTTAGCCCAGACAGTGTTGTTTCCGCCTTTGTGTGCTAGAGGTATCATTTGGGTCTACCTAAAGATGCTATTCTTGGCAGGTAGGAACGTACAGCAGATTTTCCTCGAGTTCCCCTTATGTGGTGCCTATGGAAACATTATATTCCCGTCATGCTTCTAATCCTGCAATGACCTGGTTAGTGTCGAGTGAACGTAAAATCCATTCCCTCACTCTTGGTTTGTATTTCCTGACCCCTAGGGCTAAATCTGCATACTTACATCTACGACCAACCATCCCTCATCAGCCAAAGCAACAACTGGCATTACACGACGGTTGTTTTTATAGTGGTAGTGTTCTGGTATATCCTCCTTCTTATAAACAGTTAGGTGCATCGCGTCCGACTGGTTTTTCAGGGACTGGTAAACAGTGTCTACCTGTCCGTCTTCCGGTAAGATATTGATAACAGGCCCATCTTTAGGAACCCTTTTAACCGTGTTATTGGGTACGTAGTCATGGATATCAACCAGCTTGTAAAATAAAAACGTTTAAATGCAAAATCAAACCGACAAAATATTTCTCGAATAAGAAAAGTGAAAAAAATGCTTTTAGATAAACAAGACAATCTTCAATGGCTGGGTATGCAATGCTGGCGTGGGGGGGGGGGTACTAACAATTGCCATATTAAGCCTCGTGAATTAGATCCTGTGGTTATATATCACGGGGATGGGAAATCTGGGGTTTAACGAAATCTGATTAGAATTTGTATGTTTCACTTAACTGACTCAAACAGATCGAGAGATTGGAAAATATCGGATTGTGGTTTCTGGTACATCAGTATATAAAAACATAAATTTATATGGAAAACAATCACTGATTTTAGTTCACACTACGTTTCAACAAGTTACTTGAGAACGGCAAGAGAAACTTGTTGAAACGTAGTGTGAAATAAAATCAGTGATTGTTTTCCATATAAATTTGTGTTTTTATATTATATGTTCAATTTATAATAAATGTCGTATAAGGATTACATCAGTATAGTAAAAAATAATTGTTTATTTATGGGTTACAGACATAACCGTAATCCACTCCCGTGCTTTATCACTGTTATTATTTCCATACACAAAGACGCAAACGGGGAATTGAAAGAATTGCTTTAACAGCAGGCGAACTGCATTCATATCTGATGAAATCAGGGGAAATAATTACTAGTCTTAATCCTCATTACTTTATTGTAATTACCTACCTGGGTATCGACATCCACTGACGTCATACCATGATCACTTGTAATGATGACGTTGACAGAATCCCATAACTGATTTTCACGCAACTTTCCCAACAAATAACCGAGAATGTTATCCATATACACCACTTTATCCTTTATTTGCTGAGAGTCTGGACCGTACAGGTGACCTGTGTGATCGGGTTCGTGGAAGTAAAGAGTCGCTAAATGAACACCTTGATTAGCAAACCAATCCATAACCTGAATGCAATATGCAATCAATAATATAATACCAAGTTAGAATAGAATTCAATCATATCCGAATATATATGGGGGTGGTGGCAAGAGGTCTAAGCATGCTCTTAAGATCAGAAGATCTGTGGTTGAGCCTTATGGTATGATTTCCGATTCCCAGCATGTACGTGACAAACAGCACTGGCTTCTGTCCAACTGTGGAATTTCCCCCGTGTCCTTCGATTTCCACCCACTTCTAAAGACACCTACGCGCAAGCGAATTATTGAAATAAAATTTAACAGTATGTTAGTCACGAATGTGTCTAGTGGACGTTAAACCCCATACATATTCTTATTGGATCTAAGAAAGATTTTAAAAAATGTTTCTTGTTGTCGATTTTGTTTTGTCTGCAAAGCATAATGGTGCCAAGTTTGACAATGATGGACTATATCAACTCCAGTCAAACTTTTAGTAAATCGTGTTATTTTATTTATGTAAATTGCTAAAGTAAATTAATGTATATTCATTGCGGCTACCAAATCACCCAAAGACATGAATTGTAATTGACTATTTCAGCCCGGCTTATTACTCTTACTAAAAGACATGAATTTTATAAAATGAAAACGAAATGTGGTTCAATGTCTTACATTTTTGAATCGACTGGGCTAACCGTGCCCGGACAGCGGCTCCATTCCACCTGTCAAGAGTTCTTTTACGTGCTCGCCAGTGTGGACACGGGACATCGGTCTTTCGTCCCATCCGAACGACTAGACAGCTGTCTTTGCCAAGCCATCAGTCCACCACTGACAAGGGGAAAACACGCCAGACAATCCGAGGAACTTTCTCGGCCAACACAGGGGTCCTACCTGAGACTTTGACGCTAGAGAACCAACGTCTAACCTACTGAATAACTACGGCTCTCCATGAAATGGTTACCTATTGTTTATCGCATAGTTTTAACATTTTAAAAATAGTTAGGTACTTTAATACATGATGCATCGTTCGTAGAAGGAATATAATATTTTTACCGTGTCTATTCGCTCTTCAAATGGAACCGACTCATTATAAGGGTACCATATTTCTGGCCTCACACCCTTAATCGCGACTTCACTTCCTGGCCAAAAATATGTTGCTGATTTCATATTTTGTTTTGTCGCGGTTATCCAGATTGGTTCTCCAGCTTCCCACCATTTTGGATCGTGATTGGCCATTCCGAACGTCTCATTAAATACGGGATCGTACATTTTATTAGCTATGATACCGTGGCTTTCCTCATACAGACCTGGAAAATTCAGATTAAATGTTTTGATTGCCGCTATTATTTCATTTCATAAAAATAAAAAAGAACTCTTTTAGTATTCCGTAATCCTCACAAAAGACGTGATAGATAACACATTTCTGGTGCACGACACCTGCCATTACGTATTTGGGGTTATAGTTTAGAGTGCGGCTCTTAATTTCAGAAGAGACGTGCCTAAACCTGTTGGTCCAGTGTAAGGAGACTTACGTTCAGAGCTGAACTAAGAAAGTTTGGATTGTTCCAGCACCGTTCCCAATTGTCTATTTATCTTATCATTCCGGTGTGGAATGAATGAATGAATGAATGAATGAAATAAGAGTTTTAAGGCACGTCAGATGCAACCGGGCTATATTGGGTTAAAATATCGTGAATTGTACAAGACATACAAAAAGCAATCACATATAAAGTATTTAAGTACACAAATATAAAATTCCAATATTAGAGAAAAAAAAACACTAAAAATTAAATTTTTGGCTAGTACTTTCATCGTTATCAAACGAATCGTCAGGCAACTTTAATAAGTTAGATCGTTTTATATACTTACAATTAAAATTTTCTATAAGTTAGGGTGTGGAGTGGGCAGAAATAGGCTTAGAAGAGATAAGGAATTTGATATCTGGGTTCAGAAGGTGCTTTCTTGCCGTTTAAGAGCAAGGCAGAAGACATAGCCTATTGACCATATGTGTTTACGTAAGTTGTTCAGAGCTGATAAAGAAGTTGTCTAATCGTTCGGTTGTGGGAATAAAAGAGCTCTTGACGGCTTGAAATCGAATAAAAGTAGGTAACAACGACGGTGTCAGAGCGTAATGGTCCAACCTCGCACTGCAAGCGCAACCAAAGACGTAATGATTTACCATAATGGTTGTCCCAATATGACCAAAGTATTGTGCAAGCAAATATTAACCCCAGTGGCATAGGATTTCTATGACCTATCCGTTGCCGTGATTCAGGATTTTAAATACTTACCAGTTGCTATGCTGTAATGGCATGGAAATGTTTCAGTTATGAATGTATTGTTCACATAACGAACTTTCACTCCGTGATCCGCCAAATAATCAAAATGGGGTGTATCTATTTTGTCAAGGTAATCCCATCGAAATCCATCCATGGAGACTAGCAAAACCTTGTCTACGTATTTCTTTGGTCTCCCCGTCACTCCACAAAACCCAATTAAGGGCAATAACACAAGTAACCAATTCATTGCAGAGACCTGTAATCAAAGGAAATGAGATGACATGTAGTTTAATATCATACTTTTATGCACCAATGCACCAGCCATGTCCGTAGCCCTGGAGATGCCGATAACGAAAAAGTATTTAGACAGTATATTTTGAAAACGTTTTGTCTGCCAATTGTATAATTTTTACAATCTCTTCTGACTATATTTTTTTATTGTATTATTTCGATTTTCCATGCCAACATCTCTACAGTCCCAAAGTGCAGGAAATAGAATTATCGGAGGTATAATTTTCAGGCGTAACCCCCCAAGCCCTCCCCCTTCTTGGTCGTGTCCGTATCCGCTCGGGTCGCTTTCGCTGCCCGGAGCTCTTGCCTGTTTGCCACCCCATTAATCAAAAAATTCTGCACCAACCGACCTAATAAAGTCGGTTATACGCTATGTATATGGTGCTATGAGGATAATTTTGCCGGGGCAGCGGAATTATAGCCACTCCGAATACTAGATGCCATTATTCAAGACCCTTACCCGTTAGCAACTTATTAAATTAAATACAGTTTAACTGTATCGTGTAAGTCCTGATATAACCTATTTTGTGCTGAGGTGACGATACCCGCACCCCGTTATGTGCTGACATGACATAAAACCCCAACATTTTATCTATAAAGGAACTCTGATCCGTGTTTTAGTTGTATTTAATATTTATAAAAATAATTTTGTCATAAAGCGTTCACGTGTCGAAACCATGTCATTTATAACATGTCTGCTCTGGTTATATATTATCTGCAATATGGTAGCGTGGATATTGTCTCCAAATGAAATGAAATGAAATGGGGATTAACGTCCTACTGTTCTGCTCCGAACTGGGCTAATGAAGACGGGAATACGCCATACAGTGTGCTATGAGGGAAATTTTGCCCGGACAGCGGTACGCTTATATCGAATTCCAACTGTCAAGGGATCTTTTACGTGCATTCCAATGTATACACGGGGCCTCGGTTTTTCGTCCCATCCGAACGACTAGACAGCTGTCCTTGTCAGACCAACATGGTCCCCGCAACAATTGGAACATTCATTTGTGCTTAATATGACCGACATAAGTCTATGATTTCTATATATTACAAACCAATGTTACTTTTCCCATTTTGATAAACATATCTTTGACAACATTAATATATTTTAAAATCTATTTTAATTACCTATTTATTTCTCATGTAAGATACGTGATGAATTAAACAGACACTGGCATGAGTGATATATTGTTCTTATAAACACACATAGTCAAACTCTTTGCAACCAAATATCAACTGCCCCCTGGGTTATAGAACCTTATTAAACCAGCCACTGGCTATTGCGCCGGATATAATTTAGACGAAGCATTACAGTCTAAACAATGGAGGGATTAAGTATTGGTCATTAACCAAACTCTCTATAAAACGAACTATTGTTTTAGATTTCAACTTAGAAGCAATATTTTATAGTTTAATTGTCAATGTGTCATAATTGTCTATTATATATTTTGTAGAAGTGTATTTCAAACATGGAGTGAGCTATGGTTTAGAACGGATCGGATCTCTCTCTTTCTTGTAAATATTCGTTGATTTATCTATGTTTAATAAATCACATAGAAGTTACTTGGACTTAGTCTTAATTTTATAAGACCAGAAATAACGTGGTCACATAAATTTCCGCAAGTACAAATAGCCCAAAACGAATAACTTTCAAGACACATCGTCATGATTTGTATTGAAATAAATGCTTTTATCATAAACAATGAAGTATAAACCAATAAAATAGTTTACACTTTCGAATCGACATTTTTGTTATGTATATAAGTGACCATGACGTTACATCTCGATAAGCCGTTCTGGTTTTTTTCAAAATCATTGAATTATTTGCTAAGGTTTCACTTTTCGTTCATTTTATGTTCAGGTAATAAAACCTGCTCACAGGAAGTCCATAGTACAATCTACTACTGTGGATGGAGTCCGAGGCGAACGTTATCAATACTGGAACCCGTTCTAATTAACATATATTACGAGATTTAAAAAAAGAATCATGTTTTGCCGATTGATGGATTACGCCAGCTGGACCAGAATCTCACGGAAAAGGCTTTATGAAGGACGCACGAAATCATTTACAAAAAAAAAAACAATTAAAGGATATAATACGGGCGAAATGGACATAAATTAGCTATGACGAATTCGATTTCTAGGTAGAATATGCGCTGACACGGCGTTTACCAGCAAGATGGAGGACACATTGATCATATTTGTTTATGCTAATTGGTGTGCGACTTCTCAGTCCGGCAAACCACTATTTGACCTTCTTTTTTGACACTTTTACTAAGTTAACACCAATTGAGTGATGGGGCTTCAGTTTGGAGTTAATTTGTCAAACATCTATACTGTACAACATAATATTATGAAATGGTATTGACATAGGTATACAGTACTAATTTAATCATAGTGCACTCGATTTTCTGGGCCACCCGAAATATCCTGCTCCTCTCTCGATTTTACCGTTGATTAGTATCGCGGATGTTTTTACATGCAGGCAACATGAAAGAATGAAATGAAATGAAATGAAATGAAATGGGCTAATTGAAGACGGGCATACGCCATACAGTGTGCTATGAGGGAAATTTTGCCCGGGCAGCGGCGCTACGGCCTACTGCCAAGGGATCTTTTACGTGCACGCCAATGTGTACACGGGACCTCGGTTTTTCGTCCCATCCGAACGACTAATGATGAATGTGAGGGACCGTCTCAAAATGTCAACACTGACGTCCAAACGAGAGAGAGAGAGAGAGAGAGCGAGAAATGGGGTTTAACGTCCACTCGACACAAACTAGGTCATTACGGGACTAACATATGGGTTAATTTTATTTTAAGAATTCGCTTGCGCGTAGGGGTCTTTAGCAGTGGGAGGAAACCGGAGGACCCGGAGAAAACCCACGAGATTGGACAGGCGACCAAACTCCTTGTCACGTACAACCGGGGATTCGAAACCACGCCAGTTGACTCAATGACAGGCCGTATGATACAGCGTGCACGTGCTAACCATTCGGCCATCCAACCCCCCTCGTCCAAACGAATAACCCGCGTTAGAAAATAATAAATTAAATGATGAAACATGAACGGAAATATGTCAATATTTTCTTACTGTATTGGCGCGGGTGGGCAGATGGGTGGCTGGGTCGAGATATCTACGAGGGTTATTCGTTATACCCCCATCAGACCGAGTCGCGTCCTTACCGCGCTGCTACAGCGACGGAAAATGGCCTTAGAGCGCGTTGAGATCGCCATAAGCGTGGTAAAAGCGCGGTGGAAACGTCAGATATCGTGCCGTGGTCTCCATGGTAGCAAATGATCGCTAAGTCACGGCGTTTGTTTTGAGCATGTTCAAAACAAACTCCAAGGTTCTGCGATATGACCCGGAAAGCTGCGAGAACGGGACATTTTTCAAGTTTATAATTTTTGGGGGCATTTTCTAGCGTTGTGTTCACGTGCATATCCTGACCGCGGTAAGGTCGGAACACCGCAGTAAGGACGCTACCCTGGTCTGACGGGGGCATTAGGACGCGAGTGTCGAAATTTTGCGATTCCCCCATAAGTTAGATTTGAATATATATTTACAAGACAATGAAAAAAAAGTACCTGATAAGAACGTGGTTGGGAAAATGTGATTTAGTTCGGGTATCGCCAGGTATAAACCGTTATCTTATCTTAAACCTAAATGACCATATCATAAACTCTGGCATGGAGATTATCTTATCATTAACCTATTCTACAAAAACATAAGGTCGCTTGGTTTATTTTCTGTAGATTGTAGATGAAGCTTCAGTCTTTAAGTACACCGATGAGGTTAACGGTCGATACAAACTAGGACATTTCGGACCAACAATTCGCATGCGCATATAGGGGAAACCAGGGGAGATCCCGGAGAAACTCACGAGGTTTGGCAGGCGACCTTACTCCTAGTCACGTACAATCAAATCCATGCCTTAATGACACACTTTATGATCTAAACGGCACGCGTTAGACCACTCGACAGCCCGCCTCTTCAAAGAAAGCAGGAGGCTAATATGCACATCCGATAACCGTTTCATGATCCATAATACTTACTATATATTAACTGGATTTTTTTTTACAAATCTAACGCTCAATGCATCATACATGATATTATGGAGGGGTTGATCAAGATTATTTTTTTATATGAAAGCATAATTAAAAAAAAATAATAATAAGCATAAACATTATACGGTTCTTGTATATATTAGTGTCACATTTAAAAAAAATAGTGATAAAATTCAATGTCGTGAAAAGAAGGGGGTGGGTAGCACCCCCCACCCCCAACACACACACACACACACCTGTGTTGTAAGTTCGTTCCTGGAGTTTTACTTCCACCGGGAATGGGTACAAATAGTTTGACGAATCGAACTTTGCCACTGAGCATTTAAATGCATATTTAAATATGAAGGTATTTATGTATCGATCTGTCTAGTCAACGGTAGCCCTAATAGTGACGTTTTCTTAATTAGTCACGCGTTTGCCAGGTTCTCCCGCACGCACCTGACTAGTGATATGTTCAGGGCCCTTATTCACGAAAACTTAAACTAAGATACAATCGAAATTTTAAGAAATACTGCATATCGATTGGCTGACCAGTAAAATCAATTTGCATATATCAAATGAAGTTGTAGTATTTCTTAAAATTTCGGTTGTAACTTAGTTTAAGTTTTCGTGTATAAGGGCCCAGATTAACTCACGTTTGTCTATTTACTCACGTTATTTTTGCATACTGACACAAATAAGGAATACTAACCGTATGACTATTACTGACGTACGGTGCAAGTACTGACGGGTTTAAGCGACTACTGACAACATGTATATTTCTCACGACTTTCCGCGAATAGTAACCACAATTAGCTTATTCTGCGTGATTTGAAGATATTCTAACACAGAAGCCAGTTAGTCAATACTCAGAGATCGGTTCTACACACCATCCATTCAGCAGTG